AGACAAGTTTTTGAAAGCAAAGTGATCTGATGAGAATGACTTGCATTACAATCATAGAAAATGAGGGTTGGAAGGAACCTCAGGTCATCTAATCCAATGCCCTGCTCAAAGCAGGACCACCCCCAACTAGATCGTCCCAGACAAGGCTTTATTTAGCCAGGTCTTAAAAACCTCCAAGGATGGAGGTTCCACCTCTGGGTAACCTGTTCCAGTGTTTCACTACTCTCCTAATGAGAAAAATTCTTCCTAATATCTAACCTAAATTTCTGTGCTGCAAGTATAGACTGTTGCTCCTTGTTCCGTAATGTGCCACCATTGAGAACAGTCTAGCTCCATCCTCTTTCGAACGAACCTCCTTTCAGGTAGTTGAAGGCCGCTATTAAATCCCCTTCTTTTCTCTAGACTAAATAAACTCAATTCCCTCAGCTTCTCCTCAGAAGTCATGTGCCCCAGCCCCATCACCATTTTCATTGCCTTCAGCTGGACTCTATCCAATTTGTCTACATCATTTCTGTGTATGTGTGGGGGGGGGGGGGGGGGGGGCAATGCAGCCTAGGATGCCACTAGCTGTCTTTGCAACGACACTGCTTGCTCATATTCAGCTCATTGTTCAGTGTAACCCTCAGGTCCTTTTCTGCAGAGCTGCTGCCCAGATAGTTGCCCCAGCCTGTACCAGTGCATGGGTTTCTTCCATCCTAAGTGCAGAACTTTGCCCTCATCCTTGTTGAACCTCATGAGATTTCTTGTGGCCCAATCCTCCAATTTGTCTAGGTCACTCTGAATCCTAGCCCTACCCTCCAGCGTATCTACTCCTCTACCCAACTTGGTGTCATCTGCAAGCTTTCAGAGGGTGCAATCCATCCCACCTTCCAGGTGATCGAGGAAAATATTGAATACAACCAGCCCAAGGACCGACCCCTGGGACACTCCACTTGATACGGGCTGCCAAATAGACATCGATACATTTATTACTACCCTCTGAGCCAGATGCTCCAGCCAGTTTTGTATCCACCTTACAGTCCATTCCTCCAGCCCATACTTCTTCGGCTTGCCTATGAGAATGCTGTGGGAGACCGTATCAAAAGCCTTGCCAAAATCAAGGTATACTACATCTGCTGGTCTCCCTGCAACTGCAGACCCAGTCATTCTAATAAAATAAAAGCCTTAGTGTGTCTGTCTGTCTGTAATGCTTTATTCGCACTCTGATTGGCTGTTTTGGCACCCAATCACAATGTTGACTGAAACAACCAATCAGAGTGCTCTGCACAGACAGACAAACACAGTGGAGTTCCACCAGGATAGCAGGGACTGAGGGGTCGGAGTACACAGGTGAGGCCAGTGGCACTGGCCTTGGCCCTGCTCCTTGGAGGCAGGGATGGAGTGGGACTGAGGGGCTGGAACAGGGGGGGGGAGAAGAAGAAGAGTGTCTCATGAGGCCAGTGGTGGAGCAGTGGCACCATGGGACACTGGGTGGTGGCACTCCATCCCCACCCACCCTCTCCCCAGTCATTCATAACAGGCAATTTGCTAGTCTCATCGTAGAAGGCAATCAGGTTGGTTTGGCGTGACTTGCCCCTGGTGAATCCATGCTAACTGTTCCTAATCACCTTCTTCTCCTCCAAGTGCTTAGAAGTGGATTCCTTGAGGATCTGCTCCATAGTTTTATCAGGAATTGAGGTCAGGCTGATTGGTCTGTAGTTCCCTGGATCCTCCTTTTCCCCTTTCTTAAATATGGGCACTGTTTGCCCTTTTCCAATCATCTGGGACATCTCCTGATAAGCCATGAGTTTCCAAAGACAATGGCCATCAGCTCTGTAATCACATCAGCCAACTTTTTCAGCACCCTAAGGTGCATCCCCCATCCAGCCCCATGGAGTTGTAAATGGACTTCATCCTAACCATGCAATGGGTTCCATAAAATCTCTCTCACAAAAATCAGTGCCTGAAGCATAAGCTTACATATTCTGGATCTGAGCATCATTTTTCTTCCTTTTCACAGAAGGAACACCATTACTGACATATGAAAAAGGGGTAGAGAGGGAAGTGTTATGGTATAGTTCCTTCAAACTTCAAACAAAGAAAAAAAAAGGCAGGGGGGGAGGGGTTGCTGCACCAGAAACGGTAAAGAAAATGATTTAGCAACCAAGAACTGCTTACCTGATAAGTTGCTGGATACAGAAAAACCTATACATGTCACAGGTTAGGTTCTATAACCCCTCCCTGCACAAATGAGGGTTTGGAAAGTAGCTAGGGTTACAAAAGAACTACAGTTCTTTAATTGGGACTGATAGGGTGCTCTAGCTGTTTGCTGTGGCTTTTATTTCAGAAGGTGCGGTTACCTATAGTAAACAGCTCTGAATTCATTCAGCAACTCGGTGAAAATGAAGGAATTTGAGAAACACCTGGATCCAGGTTCTACTGTATTAAGCTTCTTAATAGTTGGGATAGTTTCCATATTGCTGTTGCCCAGTATCTTTGGATTTGTCACCACATTTTTGGATACATATTGCGGTTTTGTTTAGTTTTCCCTCCAAGTAACATTTCATCATTAAAATATGGAATCCTTTACGAATTTGCACTTGTCAATTTATCATTTTGGGGGAAAAGGCCTCATTACCAGATATAGCACCTAAAGTATGTTGACCTATTTTCATGTATCAAGCAAGTTATTTCTCATTTCGAAACGACACTTAATGTTTACTGCACTTTACTGACCAATTAAAACACATATTTTTTGAAGTGTGTTTTGTTCTCCCACCTCACCATGTAACAAAGTTTTTACACAGCTCAAATAAAAGCCATAGTTATGCAGACACACATTCCTCTCATGAGTTTGTACAGATAGAAAATGACAGGAATTCAGTAAACAGAGGCACATAAATGGCAACAGAAGTGACTGACCATTCCTCACAACTGGCTAAAAATGTGTGCCCTAAACTCACTGTGGCAAAGAAAACCTGTAAAAATACTGCAAGAGAGTAGCGCTCCCCCACCCCCATCACCACCCCTTAAGGTTCTTTTAACTTCTCTTACTTAACTCTCCTAGGGCAGGCAAATACAAGGTAACTCGTAAAAAGTGCCAACACACTGATATTTATAGTAACATACAATATCAGATCAACTGTTTACAATAATTCTAACCACTCCGAAAATTAACGTATGAAAGCTTTTCAAATAACTTGAGAACCATGTGCCACTAAAACAGAATGGTGCTTCTCTCTCCATTAAGGAGAAACTCAACTTCCTGCTTAGTCCCAAATCTTGCTGTTCTGCAGTTTATTGTGAAATCAGTTATTGATACACAAGGTGTCTTGGTTTTCATCATCTATATTATGGCAGTTCTTCATATGTGACATTCTGTTCTCTCAATAGAGAATTACTTGTGACATCTAATCTCTTAATAGAGAATTACTATTACAATTGCATGGAATTTTTCACCACAACCCACCAGGTATAAGACCTTAAATTTTTTCATGTCACATCCAAGATCAAGTCCATAAGTACTTTCTCACTCATTGTGAGTGAAGACATCAGTGAAGAAGTTTAATATTAATGATGACTAATAATCTCAATAGATTTTTAATTCATAGCATCACATTATGGTTAAAATTAGATGAAATACAAAGGAGTATGAAATTCTCCTACATCGTGGTCCCAATAATAAAAGTGTATTCCCCCCCTCCCCCAACATACGGCATTTCTCACTAAAGTTGACCACCATCCTTTTCCACCATATTTAAATATGTTGGTACAATTTAAGATGTCCTTTATTTCTACTTCCAAAAGACAACTTTGTTACATGAGCATGACGACTTTGAAGATAGATAAGCTACAATATCAAAATGATTATTTTTGCAGAGTTACTTGGAATTGTAACTACCATTTGGAGTTCATGTAAACTTCTCCATACAGGTCCTTTTAAAAAGAAAGGCATCAAACCCCACCAGTTTGCAAATGTGTAAGCAAAATTAAACAATTCATCTGGTAGCTAATAAATCCTGACATACTACTCCGAACTTCTCAGAGTTCATTAAAAATGCATGCGTGAGATACTCCAGTAACAGTCAACGTATGCCAGACAACAGTAATATTTGATTTTAAGAATTTGTAAATGGCTAAAAAGTTATCAAGTAAAATCAAACCAGAGAAAAACCTGAAGACCAGAATTTTAAAACAAAACAACTGTAATCAAAGAAGTGACAAACTTCAGTTTAAGGCAGTGGTTTCCAATTTTATGATGAAGCCTCAACTTGCAATAACCACCACCTCCATAGTCCTACTCCCCAGTCTGCTACTCACCAGAAGATTACATGATGCTTGAAGTGTGTGAGCTTGCCAGTAGGAGGGGGTCCCTTGGCCACCATATTGCTATTACTTCTGACTAGCAAAAAAAATTGCAGTCTACCAAGTAGATGAGTGAATCTACAATACTACACAATTTTATCTATTGGGAGTTGCAAAACAAGGGATGGAAGGCAGAGATCTTCCGAGAAACAACCTGCTTGGACATGTTTATAGTAGGTAGAATGCAAATTTGGTCCAGGATTCCATGTTTTACCTACTCTCTGAATTTTTCCCCACCCCACACCTGCACAAGCTCCTGGCTTGTCTTCCAAGTGATTCATTCCCCAGGTTGGGAAACAATGGAATAGTGATTACTTTAACTATAGACCACCATAAATGAAATTAGAAACTTGTATTAAAACGTAACCCTCTCTCTTTTTTCCCCTCCTCTATGAACATTTTCTTTGTAAAAATAATACCTGCAAATCGCACTGATACAGTAGTACTTATTTTAACTTGTATTATGAATAAACTGCACATGCTGTTTTACAGACAATATATTTGTAAATTTGCTCATGCAAAATTAGTGCGCACAACAGGGATATTACTTTTCTAATTCCCCACACCTTTAAAAATGACATGTATTTATGTCTGTATTTTTGAACTGTGCCCAAACCCTCAGTAATAATAAATCTTACACAGAAGAATCTCTCATCTGCCAGCCAAATCCATTTATGTAACTAAAACAAAAAAGAATAAAAGTTGTACAAAAACGTGATGGTTTTGTTTTTACAGGAAGAGAAAATAAAAAGAAAAAACCATGGTCATGAAATTTTAACATTTTAATCCTAAACATTAGGTGGCAAATGGATGTTGGAACCTAATTTCCATACACCATGCGCTTAAACTTTTTATTTCCAAATGTGGCCAAATCCACTAAAACATGAGTGCTTTACAAACTCTGGATTATGGAAATACATTTCTGGAATCAATGCAAGAAAAGCAACAATGGGGAAAAAAGCCAACTGTTTCCATAAAGGTAAATAAAATGGAACAAATGTGAAGTTTAGGTATTTTTCCATTTCTTACTTTTAACCTGTCAAATCAGTGCATCATATGGTTCAACGTAATGGTCCCCATTTTGAACAAGTATCTAACTAGTGTCCATTGATTCCAAGTTAGTGGATGATGAATCTTTTTGGATACTTTCGAAGATGGCTGCCAGCTCAGGGTTAGAGCTTATCTGCGACTGAAATTCACTCATTAATGGACTCTTCTCTGCTTCTGGAATAGTTAGAAGTGCTGCTACTGCCCTCATGGCAGATCGCTTGAGTTCATCTTGTTTTTCAAACTCCTGTTTCACCGAGTTTGCCTTTACCTGGGGTAGGAAGAAAAAAAAGCATTTAGGAAGTTTAATTTTTTTTTAAAACATGCACTTTAGGACATTTTTGTTTTCATGTATAACCACTTTCATTAAACAGGTATCTGAAATGGTTTACTACTGTACTGGCTGCAATGTACTCAAAAGCTGAAAAAGCAAAGAGCCCATCAGAGGAGACTAGAAACTTGTAAACTAATGTTTAACGTACTTAAACAAAAAATATTACAAATAGACTTGTCTTGAAAATAGCAGAATAGGCAAAAATTAGTACTAAAGAAAAAAATAGCTAATCCATATACCACTTGAAAGCAGAAGTACCCAATCTTCATTTAGTCAGGTCAGCAGCATTATAAAAATTAAATTACAGCTCTGGGCATATTTACCAAAGCCAAATTTTTATAAATTGTTAGAACCTCAATGGCATTGCCATGCAAAACTTTTCAATCATACAGATATTACTTCACCACTGAAAAAATGCCTCAAGTCTATCACATAAAACAGGAAGCAGAATAACTGCAAAAAGTGAGTAACAAAATGAACAGGGGAAATTATTTATATAATGTAACACCTAGAAGTCCTGGCCATGAACAAGGACACCATTATGTCAGGTGCTGAATAAAACATACTGCCTCAAACAGCTTATCATAAAGGTAAATAAAGCATTCAAAAAAGGAACAAACAGCAGTCTTATGCCACTCCCTTCATGTCATACTGCACGTTTGTCCTTTCAGTAGCCAACTGCAAGTTTTCTGTAACTTTTAAATCACTGTTAAAAATTATATTAACACACAATATTCCATATTTCATTTACATAATGAAACTTGAGTTTGCCAAGTGCTGAAACAGCAGTGAATCTTCTGAATGACCTCAGACAAGGTAACCAAATGATCCAGGTATATTTACATTAGCAAGTATATTCAGAACGGAAGAGGAATTTCCATTAAAAATTGTACAGATAAACCCAAGCCCTTCAAAATATTTTATAAACTTTTTAAAATTATAGCAATTCTTGAATATAACCTACCAAACCATGACAGACTAAAGGTGTACTGTGTGTGGGTGAAGGTACCACTTTGGGCATCTTATCTTACAATACAATTAGGTTATGAAGAATACATTCATGCAAACCCTGTTGAAGCCTAGTTTACAACTACAGGACATAATAAATTCATAATGATTACTTCTCAAACAGTACTGTATTTTGTATTCAAGACCATGATTCAGTCGCACTATTTCTATGACCTTTTTTCTGTTGCTGTGTTCTATTAGTCAAGAGTAGTTTTAATTAAGACAGTACCTTTGTTGTACATGTGGCACGTAAGGGTTCAACAAGTCTATCCAACCTCTGTAGTACTGCACTTGGACACAGGGTAGACAGTCTCACCAACATTAAGAATGTTAGCATCTAGTTGAAGGGAAAGTCAATTCAGAAACAAGTTATACCCTTTTCCTCTACAGCAATACTTAACATAAACAGAATTCAAGCAGAATGGACCATTTAAAAAGAAAGATTGCCTCACAATAGTTGTCAATCAGCCTGCTGGTCTATTCAACATTTACATAAGCAAGAGTACAAAATAATTCAGTAAATCATTGCTTAGAAGAGAATGCTCGCATATAAAATGTATAAGATGATAGCCAACCTTAATATCATAGTGATCCTTCAAGCCATCTTCAACATGGTTTAAGAATTCAAATATGTCTAGTCTATCCAAACAACTATCTAAAAGCGTATACATGCACTCAAAAGCAGCTTTTCTGATGTCCAGCCCATCATCAACTGTATGCTTAAATGGTCCCATTTCCACCTGCACACAGAAACAAAAAGTTATAAAGTCATACTTAAAAGTCCTCTTAATTTTTGTTTAGAGGTTTTTCCTGGTTCACCTACCTCTCTTATTAGCTCCTTTCTCACTTTTGTTTCATTGTAAAGATGAGGAAGCACAGTATCTAAAAGGTCCCTTATTAATGATGGTTTATTGTGTGCTGCTGAGTTAAATGTCACTAGAGCTACTCTCCTTACATTGAGATCTGGGTCTTCCAGTGTTTTCAGGAAGTCACCTGCAACCATGGAAATAAATCAGTTACAAAACAATTTTTTTAGTTTGCTATTATAAATATTTCTCCATATTGGATTCATGTTCATCTTTTAATAGCGAACTACTTAACCTGAGTACAGTTTTAGGTGAACAGAAATGGCCATTGCTACTTTTAGCCACAGTGCACAGAACTGTCTATAATCTTGTGACTTAATATTTCATATATCTGGACTCTGGGTTCAGCATTATATACATTAGTATCACATTGAGAAATACACAGCATTGTAACAGAGCACTTACTAGCAGGGGCCTGAGTGGCAGCTAGGCAGCCTGCAATGCCAATTAGGCAAAGTTGCCTGATTGGTAGCAGAGCCCAGCTGTGCTCTATTAAGAGCTGAGCCCTGAACTGCGAAGAGGCAGCAGCTTGCTGCCAGCAGCTAGGGAGCAACATCATCTGGCTGGGCTGCTGCTCAGAGTAACATCTTGGAGTTAAGGGCCAGGTCTATGGGGAAGGAGAATGCCCCATGGTCCTAGGCATGACCGGAAACTGCACCCTGCCGGAGATGGGTGGCCTGGTGGCACTGTTTGTAGTGGGACAGTCCCCCAGAAAAGCCAGGCCAGTTACAGGCCCAGTGAAAGGAGAGTATGGGGCACCTTCTAAGCCCAGCCCCACATCCCTGGTGAATGAGATCAAGCAGGGGGAGCCCAGACTCACCTAGAGTACTGAGGCAGGGCCCAGGTTGGTGGAGGGACTGGTGGCAACACCCAGATTCTTGGTGGAGGTCTGAGGCTGCATATAGGAGCCAGCATGAAGCTCCAGGGGGTGGGGCCCTGAGCCTTGAGGAGCTATTAAGGAAGCTCCCAGGGCCAGGGATAGGGAGAGAGCCCAGGGAGGGCTTGGGAACAGGGCTCGAAGCCCTGATCCCAGAGGTGTGGGGTTAGAGTCCTGAGAGTGTGCGCAGGGCCTGGGGCCCAGTGTATGTGTACAATGAGAGAACCCAGGGTGAGAACGCTAGGACCGTGAGCTCTAGTGGGGAGTGAGAGTCCCACGTGAGACTCTGGAGCTTGGGTCCCAGTGCTAGCTAGTTGGAGGAAACATCTGCGAGGCATGGGATATGATAAGGGGAGGTCAGAGACATATACAGAGGCCCTTGTTATCAGGGCAGATAAATGGGCAGCCTCCCGCCTGATTACCATAATTATTAACATAAAGGCGTGGCAGGAGAGGTGGTGGGTGGCTGGCCCTAAGACAAGTGGGTAGGCCTGTTTTTAGACTGGCCCTGGGACACCCACTTGTTACAAGCATTTTATGCAAAAAAGTGCCACTGATTTCAATTACCACTTTCAAAGTGACCTTTTAAACCTATACCATTATTTTTCAGTGGTAAGCCTTACATAATTAGTAAAAAAACCCCAAAGAAAACCCTGCTTGAAATCATCTCTATCCTCCCCCCTGATTTTCATAAAACATGTTTACGAGTGTGCTACCATCCACTCTAACGTCAAGGAGTTAATACAGATGTAATCCTAAGAAACCTAAAAGTGTATTTAAAAATATCTTTGCTACTGCATGTCCTTAACTTATAAGCGAGTAAATTTGTTATTGCATGCTCTTAACTTGAGCAAGCAAATGAGTGAGAGAGAGATTCCAAACCTATTAATGAAAAACTACTTCCCAAACTCAACCATAGTTAACATTCAGCCTTTGCAGAAATCATTTGTATTGTACTTCCACAAGAAGATAAATGAGACAAGAGTTTTGTTTTAAAGTTTACCTCACATTATAGCTGGTTGCTGTGAAAAAATAGAATATAAAGGGAAAAGTAAAGGATACCTATTCCTACATACAAAGAAAAACAGGAAAAATGATGAAAGAGAAAAAGGACAAAGAAATACGGACACTGATGGAGGTCCAATGACAGCCATTAGGTTTGGTCCCCTGTTCACTAAGCCATTACAAGAACTCTGAATTCTTTCAGGATTTTTTCCTGGCCCCATAAATAACAACTGATTCTAAAAGGAAGCATCTCTGGTTTAGAGGCCTGCGCATCATACTGCAAGCACTCTGGAGGACAAGTAGTAAAAAAAAACCAGGATCTAACCAAACCACTTGCCTCACTCATCGTTCTCTACAAAAAACTGGAAGATTAACTAGAAAAAATGATTATGATGTAATTTTGAAAGAAAAGAACAACGAGATTTTTGAACTAAGCCACTAATGGCAATTGTATCTTTTGGCTGGCAATTTAACAAAAGGCTCACCTGAAGTTGAACATAGAAGTCCAACCCAGTCTTGATTTGAAAAAAAAAAAATACACATAAACATTTCCAATACAGAGACTAGCTAGTCACACCATGAACAAAGAGTAATTGAAAATGCATGATTCTGAAAATATGCCAAATGTTTTACTTTCCTACAAGACTTAAGAGAGTAGGAAGCATAAATTTTCTATGGATATTAACCAATTGGCTTAAAAAAATTCTCCATGGCAGGTTTGGCCTCAATGGTTTGTCATGAACAAAAGCAGATCTGAGGATTAAAGTCAGATAGCAATATAAAGCCTGTTTTTTCATGCCAAATATTACCTTAGTTATTAACAAATCAAATAACACAATTCTACAGCTCAGATTACTTTCTCAATAGGTATAAGAGAGTTCAGTAAATCTTAAAATTTTAAAGAATGACATGACTATGCTTGAATTTATGATAAAATGTTTGGAAATAGTTTTAAAGTGTAGTATACCTATACAATTGCAAGTGAATGCTTAGCAGTTTCTATCATGACTGTACTCTGAGTTTCCATGATCTACAGTGAAATGTCACTATTGCCTCCAGGTGCTTCAGTCTACAGCTTATAACCAATACTAATGCCTATTAGTAAGAGCAAAGTGACGAATTACAGAAACTGCAAAGTATTTATTTTTTTGAAAAATGGATTCTTTAAAATGCACACATTTCAACACAAATATGAAGTAACTGCTTGAAACTAAACTTGTTTAAACTTTTTTTTTTTTTTTTTAAAGTGCAAGAAACATACCTATGCAATTCTTCAACAGTGGATCTATGGGTTGTGGATGATCAGAAATAGTGAACTTCACGGCAGTAACTACTGAGCTTCGAGCATATGATGATCCTAATATGAAAACATTAGGGAGTATAAGGATTAGGAATTACTGAAAAACCATGACTACTAAATTATTTCATTGCAAGTAACTTTCTCTTGGGCTCCATTTCAAAATATTAATTTTCCTAAGGATGGCATTTGAGGTTGATTTCTGAATAATATAGAACAAAACAACTGCAGATTGCCTAGCACTATGTTGTTTTTTTCTTCATATATGGCCTATTACATTTTAAATGAAGAAAAAAATTAGACCTTAAATGTTACTTAGAAATATATTAAAGTCTGCATTCTATACAATATTAATTAAATAATGGACAACTTGAAACCATATCCCAATACATTCAACACAGGAATTCTGTTTTACATGACAGCAAGTATAGAAATGTTTGTCAAGTCTTACAGATGAATCTGGAGTACTGAATTACATACAACAGACATACCATATTTACTTGAATACAAGATGATCGCGAATAGAAGACAATGCCCCAATAAGTTATATTTTTTTTTAATCAGCTTTCAGGTGTAGAATCTAATTATTGGAGGTTTGCCTTGAATTGGTCTCCCTTCCACTGCTACAGCAGGAAATAAGCTTGGGGAAATCAGGTGGCCCCTTGCCCTGTGGCCCCCCCAACTTTTTCCCCCTACAGCCAATTATTGCTCTTACTGTCAGCCCTTGCTCTCCCTGATTACATGAAAGTAAGGGGCAAATTTCAAAACACTGACATTGAAATAAACATGCCTATAGTAATTTAGTTCATTCACTATTTAGTGTACCATCACACTAATCATAGGTGACAGGTAAGAAACGGACCAACAGAAGTATTCTGGGTGAATTGTTTGGGGCCCGGTTAGGTGATGTCTGCCATACATTTAAGACTGGCGAAGAAACCAGGATCACTGGAAACGGGAAAGGCACAACTAAGCTGTGAGTGAAAAGGAAGCAGAAATGTATGACTCACCATGACTTGAAAAAGAATTGGAGCTGAGGGGGGACTGAGCACAATGTGTACTACTATACATCTTATTCAGATGGGCTGCACTAAGCTAGCCATGTAGCAGGTTTCTATTAGCATGTTCGCCCAACATGGGCCATGTGTTAGATAGTCATGTTCGATGTTAGTACATTTAATCAGCTTCATAGTTGGTTCCCATTACTGAGCACATGCTGCTTTCTGGAAGCAATTTAATGATAGACAATGTATTTAATCAAGGTTTTTTTTCTGTTCAAGTGCAAGATAAGGGGCTTTTTCCCCATGCTGATGGGGGGGGCGCGGAAATCCTTGTCCTTGTATTCAAGTAAATACAGTGCTTACTCCTTAACCCTCCTTATTATTTTACAATTATTCTTATTTGCAGTTTAGGAATCTTTCAAATTTATCCCACTGCCAGTGGCATAATAATGTCTCCATCTTATTCTTTGAAACTATTTACATACTTTATAAGAACTCTAACAAAAGCCACCTTCCATTGTCAAAAACAAGGACAGGAAAGTCATGTTGACTTATTTCTGAAGCATAAGGAAAATGTTATACTAAAAAGAGCCTTTTAAATGCTTACTATTTCAAAAGTATAAATTGGACAGTAAAATTCAGTTGAACTTTATGTGGATTTTGACTTTTATCAATTCACTGCTCTATAAATGTTATATGAAATTCAACTGCATTCATGAACAATGTGTAAAATTTTGTTAGCTTAATTATATGGGCTGCAATGGTACTGGAAAACAACAGTCCCACAGAATTCAAAAGCACACCTTTTCAACAATAAAATATAAGTATTTCATAGCTTTTGCACTGAACTCCTTGGAAGAAATCTAATCAGGAAGCCAATATTTAAATATATACATAGGTGAATGTGTACATACATATGATATGAATAACTACTCACCTGATGCTAAATATCCCTTGAGCCGTGGGAGAAGAGTCTCTGGGTCTATTAAAGTAAGCTTGCCCAAACATTCAGCAACAACATTTCTTGTACCCTCTTCTGCACATTCGCAGTGCTTCAGCAATAAGGCCCAGATGTTCTCAACATATGGTTTCAGACCTACCACTGATGCTGAGCTAATTATTTCTTTCAAGGAATGGAGAAGAAGATACTGCCTCTTAGGTTGACTAGTTATTTCTTGTAAGACAAATGGTAGATATTCAGGAAGATTACCAACACTAATACTGCCCAGTGCATAAGATGCGGCAGACTTTACTTCTTCACTAGGAGAGGAGAATGCTTCTAATATTACAGACTTGAGCTCAATTTGTCCACTTAGGTCAATGTGATGCCCAACTTCCCCAAGAGAAAGCAAAGCTAAAAGACGAATGGAATCCGTAGATCTTGAGTTCTTGACATCTTGAATGAACTGACCTACTACAGCGGGTCCTTCTTTAGGGCAAGCTCGTGTAAGGGCAGCTACACATTTGGCAATGGAATAATAAGACTGCTTGTGAGTAAGTGCTGTGCTCTGTGAATACACTGGACCCGTTAACATACGTAGTAAATCCATATATCCCAAATTATTTGTTCCAGTCACAACCAAAGCTTGGAAAAATTCTAGCATGGCACTAAGTGCTCCACCCTGCAGTAGGGGTGATCTCACCAGCCCAATAAGTTCATTGAGAATGGACCCACTGATCTTTGACAGGGAGGAAGGATACACTTTAGCCAGTGTAGTCAGAAAACTGATTGCCATCTGTGATACATGCATATCACTCTCACTTATGAGAGGTGGAAGCTCATCCAGGACTGCATCAATCATGGCAGCTGTCAAGCTGTCACTGTAATTTTTAATTAATATATCTAGAGCAGAAAGGGTTCCCAGTTTCAAAGCTCGCTGGTTCTTCCTGAGGAAAGAAGCAAGAATAGGAACACCTTCCCCAAGGACTGGCCTGAGATCTATCTTCAAAGGAGAGCCAGCAATCAATGTCAAGGCCTTCACTGTAGTTAACCGAGTAATCTCATTCTTCAGTCTCTCCAGGAATATCTGAAGCGTATTAGGCAGGTCAGTACCCAGATTATCACCAAGGCTACAAATAATCTGGCCCATGCAAGATATTGCCCTCTCTTTTACTTCTTGATCAATATCAGCAGCCTTCAATCTCTTGATCGTGCAAGTAAATAAATCTTTGATATATGGAGTAGCATCAAAGGAAGAAGGCTGGTCTAAAGGGCGAATGACCTTCACAAGCTGTTGTGTAACCAGAAGTGCCTCTGAGGTTATCTTGTAAAACGGGTCTCCAACACAAGCTACAACTGGTGGTACCAATGCTTGAACATGAGGATGGAAGACTTGGGGAGAATGGTTACAGAGGATCACATACAAACAAGACAAAGCATCTATCTTCAGATTAGAAGAGCTTGATTTGTCATTCAGTGAAAAAATTATCCCTGTAAAAGAAAGGAAACACTGTTATTTACAGGCTGGGGTTTAACAAAGAAATCTCCCTAGTCTTGAAGGTACTACAGCCAAATCATTTTAACAAAGAAATATCCCTAGTCTTGAAGGTACTACAGCCAAATCATGCTGACGTTTTCTGCTCCCAAACCCTATTTTATGAAAGCTTCCCCTACACTTTACTACTAAAGAAATAACAGAAACCTCTTCTACTCAACCCACTTAATGCCCTTTTCTTGTCTGGTAGAGAACATTTTGAACACAACTGTTCAAAATGACTGTACTTAAAACACACACACATACCCAGCTACTTTATAAGAGTGAAAGAAGTTTAATGTTGTATCTGGAACTAAGCACTGACATTATATATTATATTACAAAACTGTTTTACATATAGTTATATAGAAATTAATACAAGTTCCATGTGCCTAAGTTTTCTTTTGAAAAGATATCAGCTAAGCACTAAACAGTTTCCAACTAATTTCCTGTTAAAATCAAGAAAAAAAATCTAAAAGAAAAGCTTTTTGGCTTTGGCAGTGTCACTAATAAAGATTCTACATATGCAGGAAACACTAAAATACAGACAGTATTTCACCCCGAATAGGTGATAACATGGACAAAGTTGGCCTTGCAATTAGATGCAAGACAGCCATTTATACACCAAGAGAAAAAGAATTCTGTTCACCTTGCCACGAACAATATTGGCTATTTGCTGCTAAGGGGAGTAAGATTAAATTTATCTAAAATATACGCTCAGATTCACACCAAGCTACTTTAAGAATGGCATTTTCTTTTAGCTTTACATTTTAAAGCTTTTCTTTCTTTAAAATTATCAAAACGTTTGAAATCTAACTCGCTGCTAATCTTACACTAGCCACCTGCCCGTCAAGAATGACCGCGGGGAGGGCAGAAGGCAGGCAGGGACGGAGCCCTATGTTCCCTCCCTCCCATCCAGGCTTGCTCCCCACTTCCTTCCTCCCACTTGGGGTCCAGGTCTGCTCCCCGCTTCTGCACCACAGTGCTGGGGGGAGGGGAGGAGCGGAACCAGGCCCAATGCGGGGGGTGTAGGGGAGGACCACGGCCAAAGATGGGGAGAAGCTGGCCTGCCGTGGCAGTGCAGGTGGAAGGGTGGGGGAAGCAGCAGTGGGCCCAAAACAACACAGCAGTGGTGGGGGGAAGGGAGGAGCAGGCTCAGGCCTGATGTGGAGGGGAGGAATGGGCCTGGGCCCGAGAGGCAGGGAGGCAGCCCGCTTTGCCCCTCCCCCTGCCACATCAGCCCAGGCCCGCTGCTCCCTCCTGCATCGCAG